ATTCGGTATGTACTAAACGCTCTCTGTGCTACTGGGTTTCAAGGAAGGACTACAGGGAATAAGTTACTTATTACAGTGATGAATGTAAGGCTTCAACTTTCATGGGCTTTTGATCATTAAAACTTAAATAAAGTACAATGAAAACAATCATATGGATCAGTGAACACCTCTACTCATTGTTTCATTTGAATGGGTTTAGAATTTATGGACATAAATGATTGTTTCATCTGTAAAGAGTAGTAGGGTTAATAACACAGTGCCAGCCTATTTTAGTTGCATGGTTTCTAATTGCAAAGTTAAAAGACTTGTTAATAGTTAAGCCTTGAATTCCCTTTTGTGCTGTGATATTGTGGAAAATGCTGCATTAATTGTTTTGATGAATTCTTATTTGGAAGGACCGTATCTCTCATAACATTTCATAAACTGAAGCCAGTAGTGAACTGAGAAAAGTAATATTCAGAATTCCTCTTGGTTATCCAAAGCCTTCAATTAAAACCAACTGAACCATTTGAGATAGTATGAAATGCTGCCACAAAGACAGAGAAATAGACCCCAAAATCTCACTTCACTTGAAGCTGCTTTGCAAAAGGGGAAGCAGTCTAGTTTACAAAATGTGAAACAGGTATCGATAGCAGGTGTTAAAACCTCACTCATTATTAAAATGAAGAATCAGTGACAAAACTTGAAAATCCCAATTTCAAGATATGCTTTCCAAATAATTATGATAATACAAAATATAGTGTATATATTTCACCTTGTTTAATGAGGAACCTTTAAACAATGTATGAAACTCTCAACTTTATCTATATGTAAAAAAAACCCTTTTTAAATGAGCTTAGAAATCTGTATTTCATTTATACATAGCAGAAACCTTTAAACAAGAGTACAGACCAATATTTCATACACAAATTAACTGTGGGTAATATTCTAAAGAAGCATAAGATCACATCAATTGTAGAATATGACCCTAGCCAACCAAATATAACTATTATGCAAACTTTAAAAGAAAATATTACATCTAGCATTAAATCCATTACAAATAAATTCAAATGTAGACCAGCACATTTGCTATGCACCAATAGTTCTCTGTGCTACTAGATTTCATGTAAGGGCTACAGAGAAAAAGTTATTCTTTACAAATATATCTTTTTTTAAGTCTTAGTTCTTTTGAGGCATTGACTTCATTGCTGTTAAGTTTTAGTTTTGTGTCCTAGAGTGTATGTTAATTCTGATTTTTTCTGCTTCAATGAGATTCAAATTTAAGGAGTTAATGTTGGACTCTGTGGTAGGAATGATTTGTTCTATGGGTGAAATTCTACTTTTGGTGGAAAAGTTTAAACCTAAGTTTAACACCCTAATTTGATTATCAGTTAATGGTTCACTAGAGATATTTAAAACTGAAAGACGAAAATTAACAGATTGAAACATTTTCACCTCATCTTTCTAGTTTTCTATTAACTTGAGTTTCTTGTTTTGGTTAGTCCTTTTCGTTTTCTGCATTTTTAGTTGATCTAAGCCAGTTGGTATAGTCAAGTCTGTTCCAATCTTCAGGGGCTAACTTGTTAGTAAGTTCTAGATGTTTTTGGTAAAGTTGGACTTCTAACTTGGAAATATATCTGTGGATATCTTTCGTTATGACTCTTAAAATTACAAACTTGTTTTTGTAGTCACAGTTCTGACCCACTGAGATGTTGTAGAATACTTGATTTGAATAAAACTGGGGATGACTTTAGAAGACTTATAATTTAGGAGAAAGTTAACATTTTCCAACAAAGAAAATGTATTTCTGATAGATACTTATCTCTTCTCACATTATAGATTTCCTCAATCTGTGCTGTCTTCTATATACACTATTTTTGCTTGCTACTAGCCTTGAGTCTCCAAAGATAGAGACCTAAACGAGATGAAGAAAGAGGAACACCTTCTATGGTATTGAGTGTATGATATCATCAGGTAAGGCTTTGAGTAGGGAAGGAGAAAAAAATGGTGGAGGACAAGGGAACCAAAGTGAGGAACCACTGGTCACATAGAGTCCACTGTAGACCTCACAAATGAGCACAACCCAAGGGGAGACATGTTTCCATGGAAACTCAAGTCCCTATAAGAGAAAGATCCTTCCTCATAGTGAGGGAATAAGAGGATAGGCATGGGAAACTAACTGCTCCACATCCCTAAAAAAAAAAAAGAGAAAGCTGAGCCCTATGGAGTTACAAATTGAAAAACACCCAAATAAACAAGAAACAAAATGGGTGTGAGAAGCAGTTTTTCCAAATTGACCAACCAACCTAGTTTGGAGGAGAAGAGGATGGCTGCAAGAATATTGTTGGGACAGAGCCAAATGAGAAAATAAGCATCCAAGATTTTTGGACAAAATGCCACTGTAGGGTGAGAAAAGTCTTCATGGTAAATTGAAGGAGGTTGAGAAACTGACTGAGACATAAAATGATTAAGACCGGATGCCTAGCTAAAAATTCCTCCTGAACCATGAAAACACGGAATAAATCCTGGAAAAGGATGAGAAACCCATCTTATAGAGTCTAGCCATTAGGATTAACACTGTCACAAACACTGGAAATAAACAAGATCTCTTGGAGAAGGGAAAGTAAAGGAAACAGGACACAAAAGAGAAGGAGAGGAAAAAAACTAAGGGTAAGCTTCTGAAAGAACTCCCATTACTTCACAATCAACCGCAAATGGAGGGCAAAGGTCCGTAATCTAAGGAAACAGGACCCACCAACCCTGAGCTTACAGGATAGTTAGGAACAGAGGAATGGGAAGTTGTGAAAGGGAGAGAAGAGTGAACAGGAGGAAAGGAGATAGAAAGAGGTAAAGAAGGAACATGGGAAAGATGATAAAAAAGCAAGAATAAGGAAGAGCATTGGAATGCTGCCCCAACATATAACATCCAAGAAACAAGCACTCTAGTAAAATCACACAGGTAGATGAAAGGAGCCAGACAAAGGTATAAAGAGAAAAGGGAGGCAAAAGGAATTGAGTAACAAGGGGATGACTCCCCAACAAACCCTAGCAATAGATCAATTAAATATGAAGGGGCAAGTCAGAGGAAGAGAAACACGACACTGTAGAGGGGAGAATTGAACAAACATCTGCTGAAAACCCCTGAAGAGAATGGTGGATTACCAAAGAAAGAAGGTGAATGTAGGAAAAAGGTAGAGGGTGTAAGATGAAGATGGGAAGCTTAAGCTTAAGAAAAGAATAGAAAAAAAAAGACAAAGGATCTGGTCCCCAAGTTGAAAGAAACGATTTCAGAGTTAAGGAGTCATAGAAAAGCAATACAGAATGAAGTTAGGCCTAGACATAAGATATAACAAAGGAAGATGAGGCATGCCTGCATCAAAGTAGTGGTAATGGAATTGAAGACAGACAAGCATATCTGGATATAAAGTAAAACAAAACAATTAAGCAGGAAATGAATTACAAAGAGAAGTAGAGAAACACACCTGAGAAACTTAGACCTGAAGTTACAAAAAAGGAGTAAGTAGATTTAAGACAGCATGGGAATAAGATAAGGCAAAGATAGGTGGTGTGAAAAAACTGGCAAAATCCCTTCCACCACAAATGAGAAACATAGGTGGTGGTATGTCAGGTACAAAAAAAAATGCACAGGCCACATGAACTACTCCACCACTCTCTGCACAAAAGCCATTACATCTCCCTATAGACAATGACAAACTTGATGCCAATGTAGGTGTGATACTAGTGTGAACAACATCATGTTGTCTCACACCAGATGAAGTGGAAGTTACTGATGCTAATGAAATAATAATGGGGAAAATAAATGGCCTCAAAATATGCAGGTGCAGAAAATGTTGGAAAGCAAAGATCCAACAATAAATACTTCCAAAAGCAATGACTTTGTAGATACTTCCACTTAAAAAATGCCCAAGAGTTGGTTGTGGGTGGTGATACCAGCTGCCTTCCCTCTAGTCTTACACTGCTAAATTAGGGATGGATAGCACACATATTCCTAGTGCAGCTTTACACAAAAATGATAACAAACAAACAAACCTAAGAAGTTTATTGGATCAGACTTTTTATACAGCCATATCCTAAATATTTTCTCTCACTTTCATATATTAATTTAGACAATGCTTGTTGTAATTACTGTACTACAAACAAGCCAATAAACCATACCCAATTGTGTTTTTAAGGCCGGGAAAAGTCTAATGCCAAGAGTTGTGATTCATTGCTTTGTTTTCGAAAGATTTCTATTTCAGCTGCTAACAGTAAAATAAACATAGGAAGTAGGTGAGAAAAGATTGAAAGTAGAAATTCTCAGATTTACTTTGGAATTTTGTGGTCCATAGTGAAAAGTACCGACAATACTATTCATTTTGTTTCACCAGTTACTATCAATATTATAACTACAGAAAATATGTGAGAAAAGGTGAGAAGTATTAACTCTGACAATAAGTTGCTTGGAATTTTGTGATCAATACTAACATAACTACACATTTTATTTTGCAATCTTTCCTTTCATTATACTTTGATTACTTGCCTACAACCTGGATGAAAGAATTAATGATTTTTTCTTCTTGGGGTGGGCAAAACTTCATGAAATTCGAGATTTGTAAGGTAGAAGTTGTTTGAAATTGTGAGGAAATGGCATTCTGGCTAAAAAAAAAAAAAGTATGGGAATGTTGTTCCCATGCATTCCCACACCACTGCTTGTTCATAAAAAGCTTTAGAATGAACTTTTCTCTGATTTCCTACAAAATAATACATGTTATCTACAGGCACAAGTGCAGTCATGACTTTAAACTATGCCTAAACTAAAAAATGAAACACTCATAATGCAAACTTATGCAGTCTAACAGAAATCTAAATATTTCATTAGATAGTGATGTCTTACTTTATCTTTCTCAAACAAGCTTCGACACACATTAGTATACAAAGAATAAGTGAAATGGTCCTGTAAATGGAGGAGTCTTTTGTTGATGTTAGAGGATGGTTCAGAGTTGGCTATGGAACTGATGAAGAGTGTGATGAACCATGGTAAGGAATACTGATACATAGGATCAATGTTGGCCAAGTCAGTAATGGTGAAAAACAACACTGATGAGTGCTTGGCTATTGGCTTGTATCCCATTCGAGTGTTATCAATTTTCTTTTCAGTTTCTTCTGCAACAGCCTACAAGATAAAAAGAGTTTCACTAGTTAAAATTATCATTTCATGCACATAAGTCATTATTCTTTTATTTATGCCAATATGCATTTTACTGTACTTGTTCTATACATCATGATAACAAAACACACAAGAATTACTTACTTGGTGTATATTATGACAGTACATAAATGATACAATTAGAATTATAACACACCACTAACCAAGCCTATTCATAGAGTTATTACTAAAATAATGCCATTAGTGCCAAGTACTTATATGTATGGATGAGCTGGATTCTTTACAGTAGGTGTCAGTGGTTTGTTGACAATAAATTTCAACAATAAACAAACAGCACACAGTACACTTGTTTTAAAAGAATATGTTAAATCAAGTCAAGCATATATGTATATACACACAAATTTTCGTTATACTGTTAGTCATCACAGTTGTAACCAGAGCTTTAAATAGTTCTGCATCAAAAGTTTACAAAGGTTTGTTCACTTACTTTGGTACGAAATTGGCAAGACAAATTCTTCTTCTCTACTCTGTTGTTACAATACAATATGCAATAATTTCACTTTAAATCACTACTATAACTGCTGGTTACCAAAGTTGTCCACATAGTCTGGTTCAATTACTTTAGAACACAATTAACATGACAAATTATTTTTTTTCTGTAATAATTCACTTTAAAAATTGCCAATATATGCTATTTATGTCTAAGCCCACAATCACGTAGTTTAGGTCTATCTATCTATCAATCTAACTATATTGATGCATACACACATACACACGTGACAGCAGTTTTTAACATTCCACACACTACTAGACATTATGATGTAACAATACTCAATTAAAGCAAATTCAGAAGGTTTGAGTAACATGATGTCAAATCACAACAACTGAACTACACAATGTATGATTCATACATAGTTACATAAACAAACTTTCAATAAACTATTGCTTCTAAAAGTAACCAAATCTAACACTCGTATACTTAAACTATCTAAATCATAATACTCACATTATCTTAAACAGTCATGTATATCTAACAATTAGCATACATAAAATGTAATCTGTACAAGGTTGCAAAAGATCAGAAAAACTACAAATATGACCACTAATTGTTAGATTTTAGTTTCAAATCATAGGTTAATATTAGAGAGAAATCTTCATTAAAATTGAAATTGTAAGGTAAATGTACCAGTATGTGATAAAATGCTGCTGTTAGTACTTTTTAGCCATTATTGTAAATCATGACCATTAACCCTTTCGAGATGGGTCACAGGTGAAAAACCATGTCATCTCGTTTGTTGACTTGCATTCAAAATTTTATTGAACTACTATTTCATGAATTTATGTCAATAAGTTTGGTATCAAACTGTAGATTATGATTCTTTAGAACTATAAATTACTCATTTTGTTAATTCAAAAAGAAATATTTAAAAATAATCACAGTCACGTGGTATGTTGAATGCAGCACTGGTTCAAATTAGATGTTTGTGAAGTCAAAATACTACGTCTACAGTTTGTACGAATTAGAAACTGAAACTACAGGTATTGATGAGCTACAATATAATGTAAGAAGGTTATATCTTTTCTATTTGCTAAGATATTGCTCATGTAATAAATCAAATACAGTGGTACCCCATTCACCTCTTTCCATTTTTGGAAATGCTCCCTTATATACACTTACTTCTATATATGACATAAATAACCAATCAGATGCTCAGAATGTCCCCCTAGTGGTTTCTCAATCTTTCTAACGTGGCTAGCGCCATATCTTTAATTTTGAGCCAAGATTTCAATGAGGTAGGTTGTGTCTTTAGTGTGCTCAAAATTTCATATTTTTTTTTAGAGTAAAATACATCTTAATTACTAAGCTTGATAAATTACAGTTGAATTCTATGGTATTGATGTAGTAATTTATGATTTTTTAGTTATTCAAATGTATATATATGAAAAAAATTATTTTGTTTCATATCCTATACATGTAAAATATTTAAAGGCTTAGCAACCTACGTCAAGCAGCAACTGAATACAAAGGTCATAACTAGAGGAGATAATTGTTTGCTTTACTTCTTTATTTACTGTTCTATGTTTTATGAAAAATATGTCTAAGAACTTATTTCAAAATAGCAATAATCTATATACATATATAATGTATAATAACTGAAATATGACTGTATTTTACAAAATACTAGTCGACTAAAACAGGGTCAAGACAAGTTACTTTGTACAGGCCAAAGGTCAGTTTTATGTTATTTGATATGGTAACATGAGCTGCTCATTGTAACTTCTGTATTGTTAGCCAGGCACAGGTAAAAGGAGAATATAATATAAATAATAAATATATATATAAATGTATAAAGTTATGAGACTTAAGCTATTTCGTCTAAACATTTATGTTTTTGTGTTATAATTTGTGTTCATTCTAGAATTAAAGAGGCATAACTTATGTTTATTTCCTAATTTTTTATGGTGGTTGCAAGATCGTTCAAATCTACTGAACCCATACATAGATTAATTACCGAAAATAACAGATAAAATATAGTTTTTTTTAAGAAACATTTGATAACTATCCGGACATTATAAAGATTTCGCATAT